TCCTCTCTTTTCTCCTTCGCCTACAAAAGAGTAAAAAGCCATGCATCCCTGCACAACATGCGACATTTGGCGCGTCCTAATCGCTGGCTAAGCCCTCTTCCACCTTTCCCCCCACCCCCCCGTGCTCTCTGCGCACCCGTCGCCAGCCAGCCACTTCCTCGCTTGCCGGCTCCAGCGCCAATACTCTCCGCAACAACAACGACGATGACGACGGTGTATAAAAATGTTGAGAGATGAACCTTGAGGGTTGCGAGTGGAGAGGATAGGAAAGGGAGGAGGGAGGAGGGGGGGGAGAGAGAAATGGATGGAGTGGGTCAGGAGTGGGAAGAATGCTCGAGACGAACAGCAGGCGTTGCGAATACGTTGCGCGTAGCAGAATGTCGAAAAAAGTCTGAGCAAAGTGAGAGGGTAGGGCAAAGAAAGAGCAGTGGTAGACAGGAAAGGGAAATGAATGGAGAGAACATGCTCACGTTGGCATACCCACGAACAAGTACAATTTGCACGATGGTGACGACGAAAAAGCGTGAGAAAAGGGGCGTTGGCAAAAGGCTAAGGCTGAAGGGGTGGGGGATGATGGTGCGGGTGGCGGCGGTGGCGGCGGTGGTGAGGAGGGAGAGGAGAGCATCATTTGTCGGGAGAGACGCAAAATAAAGCTCGCTATTCGTCCATGTCCATTTCGATCTCGATGCCTGCGCCTAGATCGCTTCTCTCGCGCTCATCCGACAAGCTGTGGTCAGGTGGCGTGTCGGGGTCATGGTCGTCGTCCTCCGTGTCTGCTGACCCTGATCGATCGGTGCGCTCAGCACTCTCGTCGAGCTGGAGGTGCTGCACATCGCCATTGTGCATGCCGCCGCGCATGCGAGGCGTGCTGATGTTGAGCGACGTGAGGGCGTCGAGAGGACTAGGCAGACTTCCGTTGGACGGTCGGTATGGAAGACTCTGCGGCGTGGTGGATGGAAGCGGCGTGTACCGCGAGGAAGGCGTGTTGCCATTGAGGAAAGGGGATGGCGGTTCTCGACTTGCGCCGCGATATTGTCCCTTTTGAGCCATGAGCTTCTCAAAGTTGATCCGGTCGGAACCTAGCAGGCCAGAGCTGGGCGGGCTAACGGCAGCTGGCCAGAGTGCCTTTTCTTCGGGGAGAGACCGCGCATTGTTGTCCATGCCGACCAGGATTGCCGCAGCTTCTAGCAACTGAACCTGCTGGTGCTTTGACATGAGAAATTTCGACGCCTCCTTCCAGTAGATGGTGTGCTCCCAACGATGCTTGATCAGACAGCTGGGATGTCGGTAGACTTTGTTGCAGGCTTCGCACTTGTGCAGCATGGCATTGGCAGAGCTGAGAGACTTGGACAGACCGTCGGCTCCAACACCGTCATCCGAGGATGTGGAGGGAGCAGCGGACTGACCCCTAGCACTTCGCTTGCCACTAGACGAGTCGTCCTCCGAGTTGTTGCTGTTGTGGCCATCTCCATGGGTGGACGAGGAGAGCATTGCAGAGGAAGGAGGTGCGAGCGGCGTCTCGCCAGGCTGCGGGCCGTAGCACTCCTGACCAAAGTGAGTGTGCGACGA